GCAACTAACTAATTAAGAGAGGTCAGCCCTCAGGCGAGTGAGTGGGATAACAAGAATTTGATTCGGAACGATGTTCCTTCCTCCGGTTAACTCGGCGGTCATACAAAAGCTCGCTAACTCACAACCACGTCGCGTAGCGAATACACCTCGATGTGTCCGAATGCGAATAGATGCGCTCGTAAAAGGCGGGAATTCCAAAAATTTGCGGGAATGGTGTCGTTTTAAAGTTGTCGTTATAGTTCTTCTTATGGTACCCTTGGTCTTTAATGTACGCTATAGCTTTATCTATGACATTGTGATCAGTTACTGTTAATGTGTCCAGTGTCTTCAAATATTTGAGTTTTCAGAGCTGCTCAGTAGATAGTTGGTGCAAACTGGACTCGTTCATGTTACCATTCAGCGTTAGACGTGGGGTCTTATTAGCTAACGATTCGCAGTCAAGGCTGAAATGTTATTTTTTTTTTATTTCTGAGCATAANATGTTTTATTAACTGCTGCTATTTCGCCGCAGTACGCATTCCGGATATCTCACAAGGTTGGCGATTCATAAGCAAATCTTCATTCTCGGACGGAACTCGAACCCGGGTCCGGAATGCACAAGTGCGCGCGCGTTCGAGTCCCGTCCGAGACGGAAGTTTTGTCCATAAATCGCCAATCTCGTGAGTCTTCTAGAAATAGTCGTTCGCTCAGCTACGCGTCGAGATATTACGCACCGAATCTCTTGAGAAATGTAAGTAAGAAGCTGTATGCCTGTAATAAGAAGGGATCACATGGTGCGCAAATGATAGTTTAGTGAGGTATGCCTTGAATAAGTTCTTCGTCTGGTCGAATAGCAAGTTGGTAGTGCCCTTCATTCATTTGGTCTATCCCCAACTCCCTTCTTCAGCTTTCCGGCTTCTCTGTACACATTCTTTCATCATAGTGGACTGGCTTTCTTTTGAAACTATTAGTAGGTAAAGCTGTTCGATGGCATTACATGCTAAAGTTGACACAGAATGATACAGATGAGCAAGTGCTTGGGAATTATCGTCAATAAGGGTTATTTTGCTCCTTTTCGCGTACAGTCTGAATGTAGTGAGCAGATGGGCATGTGCTTTGAGAATTAGAAGTGAACGCGTGAGGATTGATTTGCAATCTATGAAATCGTTCAGTGCTTGTGAAATGCACGAATACGCTTATGGATGAACGGCCAAGAGGGTTTATGTTTGTTGGACTAACCTTGGTGCATTGCTCCTTTCGCCAGAGCCGTCTCTATTCCAAAGATTTCTAGGATTTACCCTTTTCACAATAATTATCAGATCGGCAGAAAAGACTAATGAAGGTACCTAGATTGCTGTCATAAAACACTTTTCACTCAACAGCCTGTAGTTTACCATTGAACACGCTCGCGGTGTGTCTAATGGTATACCTGACTCTCGGCTTGAAGCTAACAGAAGCTTTGTTGCTACAGTCGTGAAACGTAACGAACTGTTTACCCTAGCTTCTCAGTCAGGATCAGAGATTCTTTCAACAAAGCTGTCGCGATGACCTGAAATCCTGCATGTTCTGGCATTGCCACAGATGACCATCTTCATGTAGGAGCTGCTAGTCCTCAATCTCTTTATAGCGCCTAGTTTTTTCTTTACCTTGCATCCTCAAATCCACCGGTATACTCGTACTCGTGGAACTTGCTCGTGATCAAGTATGGCTTACCTGACATGACATTCTCTTAACGACATTCTCTATCATACTAGTAGCAAAGATGAGCTGATAGAGTGGCCAATGGTTCCCAGGTCTGAGCTGATGCGCCAAAAAACCTAAGCGGGGCAATGCTTTGGCAATTGTCATGTATGTTTGATGGTTAGACACCCAACATATAGAAAGAGGTTTTCGGTACTGTACAGTGATCTGCAAGAAAACTGTGTTTCTGCTTTTTTTCGTTGTGATTGTTCCGATTTTTCTCTACGATTTAGTGGTACTGAAGCGGAAGTGTTTTTCCTTGGAAAACTGAGCAAAAACTTTGTAAGTCGTCTCTGGTTCGCTGACTATGATGATAGAGATTTCAACTTCATCCTTGAGATTAATAAAAAAAAATCCCAATAAACTGATAAAAAGGCTTTGTCTTAGAGATGTCGAGCACCGGTCGCCGAACTCCTTCCAGACGCCAAGCATCAAGGCAGACCAACGAACCTTCGACTCGAAGTTAGTTTTTTAATGCTTTATAGTATTAAATTTACATACTGATTAATCTTTAATCCTTTTCAGGTGAAGTTCCAAGCACAGGCACCAGTACACCCGATCTTCGTTCTCTTCCTCCAAGTGAGGCTCCAGTGAACAGTGAAGCGACGTCCCCAATCGCATCTGCTCGTAGCGGTAAGGTTTTTGTAGAGTCTGTATTGAGGATGCTTGCCTGCAAAATGTGCATACGCGCTGCTTTTTGAACTGGTCATTTCTCACAAGGGGTTTGTGATAATTTGCCACTGCGAAGCGACGTTAGTAACATTAGTAAGATTTGGTCGTATCTCAAGAACCTCAGAGCCTAGCCTTACCTATGCTGCCTTGACCTTTTACATCACAATCTAAGCTCTGGTTCTCTGAAGTCTTCAAAGCTATGCGTGCTTCCCATTTTCCTTCTATTGAACGCTGAGGATGGAGATGCAAGTGTAGGCGTAAGCCAGCGGCCCGCTGTGTGACAAAGTACTGAGAATAAGTCGCCAGAGCGATCTAAATTGAGATCTTGGAAAGGGTAAGCTGGCCCGCATAAAAGTCAGATCTCTTGCTAAGATTGTGGGGAGGTCGATCTTGTTCTGCTTTACAAGATGTTCAATCGCATGGTTCACTCACATGAACGGCCAGTAAAAAGCGTTAAACTCGGATTTCCTGTTGTACCACTCTAAGACTTAATCAGTGTAACGATTCTATGTTTTGCTGATATTATAACCCATATCATACTCATCCCTTATACCCTTCCCTTCACCCTTTGACAATTCAGGATATGAAGTCTCCTTAGGGTGGCAAAAGTTCTTTGCAGTCCTTTTTCGACTCGTACACCATTTCACACGTCCATCGTGAGGGGAGAGCGCTCTGCTTGGAATTAAATGCGGATAGCGAGAGAACACACCTATTTCCGTGGTGTACATGACACGCAGACTCGGATGCGCTACATTGCGCGCGTCTGTCGGAACTAGGTCACGCTGCAGCTGTCGCATGCGGCGGGTCAGCCCGCGATACTTGAAACGTCGCAGTTGCCAGTAGCTGCTTTCAGAGTGTGCAGGGCGACCTAGTTCGACAGAAGCGCGGAACGGACGTTCACCATATCAACGGTTCTCCGTCGTGTGTCACGTACGCATACCCCGTACTGCGACACTAACGCTTTCCCGGACCTCATTCAGCGTCCTTTTTCGCTCAATCATATATGTTAAGGATGGTTGGAGGCGTCATAAGCCTTGCCGTTTTCGACGTGATGAAACCGCGGAGGAGCGGTCAGCGCTGCTCGCAAAGACCGTCGGTATTTATATTTATTAATGCGTCCTTGTAACTCAATGACTGGATATTATTATATTAACACTCACTAACATAGCTTGTTCGCTCGTCTCATATATCTTCATCCTGTCATCATTATCATTTGATAGAGTGAACGCTAACTAGTCGTAAGGGAGCTCTTTGATATACTGCGACTATCAATTAATCTTAATCAATCGTTACCTTGGTGCTGTATGGAACACGGACTACTTTAACTCGGCCTTTAATTGTCGCGACTGGGGCTATTTTTCTGCTCTCGTCTGTCGCACTCCCGTTTGCTCCAGTCCCACCCTCTGGATACTGTATGTGGGCAATATTCATTTTTCAGGAAAAGGCGAAATATTAAATGTAGTAGCATTTCCTTTAATGCCTCCTAACTTTTTTACTATTTTCTTCCACTCACCCTCTATGTACTCGTGCTCCTTTTACTTATCGACCAAATTTTCAGGAGTAAACGCAAGCCTCAACGATATTATTTGAAATTTCTTTCCAAGAGAGTGCTGCTAACACGAGTGTCAACGAATCTAGTGCCCTATTATACTCAGAACCATCTATCGTTTTTTTTCAATCACAACACCACTCCTATCATCCCCATTTGTGTCCTCCGGTATACCTTATCAATTGAAACCTAGTAAAGTAACGAGTGTTACAAGCTTCCAGTCTAATGGACTCAATAGATATATGGGCTTACAGATGAACAACAAAAGGCGCTTTTAAGAAATTGTAACGATATAATTGATATTGTGATATTGTAAGAAATTGTGAAAGCACACCTCTACAACTTAGTGTCAACTGAGATGGTACTTTGGCTCACTCCAATGTTTCTATATGTTCTATGTTCTCATCTGTTCGTATTTGAATTCCGTAACGGGCAGATTATGCAGATTCCGTGATATTATTCAACTAGGCATGGTTCTGATCATGTGCCGCTTCTCATTCCATTTTGCTATGTATACAAGAGGGGAGAGAGTACGAGAGTAGGACGTAAGTGGACAGATGACCAGCCTCACCGCATGGCACTTGCTGCACAAAAAGAATGAAAAAAATTAACGATCAAGAGAAAAAGCAGCATGAAAATCATTAAGGAGGCAGAGTAGGCGAGGCCTTTTTAAAGGATAAGGAGCGCGATGGCCGGATAGCACAGGTACGGGTTCAAGTCCCGCCCGACGCCGAAGCGTAAGACGTTCGAGATTTGCTTTCAATCTTACTAGGTTGGTTAGATGTATATATTTATCAATCCACACGCATACTAGACACACGCGTGTGCACACCTACGCGCAAGAAGGAGACGTACTCAAGGGTCAAAGTACAACATCAGTAATCATTGATTTATTTCGGAAACATTCGTACAACTTTTTCGAAGCAATGTGGGAGGCCTGTTTTCTGATTATTCTTCCACATTTACTCTTTTTCTAGAGTGGGCATGATTGAAGAATGATTGCTTTCAAATACCTGAACTTGTCGCACTTTCATTTGTGCAGTAGCGCAGTTACATAATTTCAAGAGGTTCTTCAGTTGTGGGACAGCTTAAACTGAACTGCTTCCATACTTCAGCTACTTCATCGCTTCGCTATGGCTCAGAATTGGGTATGTCCTCTCAAGGCTCTACGACAATGTCGTCTCGTCGCGGCTACGCCCGCGCAGATCTCGGTACTGCTCCAAGCCACCATAGGTATGTTTTTTATGTGGGGCAGAAATCTTCGTCTAAATTCGCGGATTCCGCTTAAACAATTTCAGAACCATTCGCATCGAAGGGCTTGACGATAATCTCACCGATGACAATTCTCAACCCCGCATGTACATTTGGGGAACAAGAATTTGTGTTGTGGACGTACAGAGGTTCGACGTTTTGTTTATTGAAATTTTCATGCCCACCAACCTGTGTTCACCCAACCAGTATTATAGGGCATTCCGGCTTTTCATTACCGAGTTCAAAGTTTCCTCATTGGATGAAGATGAAAATATGCTGATGTTGCCATCGACGGTATGAAACGCTGGTTATTTCATGAGTATGGCTGCCTGACTATTCTAGAAATTTCAGCGCCAGGCTGTTGATACCTCCATTCCGTACTACATGGAACGTTTATTCGAGATCGACCAAACCGATTGTCCGTATCTCAACTTGAACCTTGCTCACGTCAAGACGTTCTCGGAGCCACTCTATAGGAAGATAGTCGCATATCCATCGGTATACCATGTTTTTCGCTAGCAAAGATTTTTCGAGGAAAGGTCCGATTTCAGGATGTAATACCGTATCTGGACATTACTGTAAATGAGATCTACCAGGAGAAGTATAATCGCGCTTTGGCTACACCAATTGAACTGCGTCCTTTTAACGCCGATAAAACAAGAAATATGCGTAGTTTGAATCCGTGTGGTGAGACCCCTGTTCGAATAACGAACCCACAGTAAAATCTGCTCGGTGCAATATCAACGCTACTTTCCAGATATTGATCAGTTGATCACAATTACTGGTATGGTAACTCGTACTTCGTCCCTTATCCCGGAAATGCGAATGGGCTTCTTCCAGTGTTCAGTTTGCAAATTTTCTGTGGAAAGCGAAGTGGATCGTGGAAGGTTTGCCGTTTTGCTTTGAATGATGCTTTGTCCAGCAAAACTCGATAAGCTCCAAGAAATTTTAGAATGAGCTTACCTCGTACAGTCACTTCTTACTGAACACCATTAGATCAGTTTATCCTTTTAAGCATGTAAATCCCTGAATAAATGTGCCATTAAAGCAAAGTAAGTAAAATCTCCCTAGGATATTTATGTTATGTGTTTCCAAAAAGTGTAAGATTTTTTCCTCCTGAATGTTGCTAGTATAGTTTCGGTTTCTTGTGAACTTTCTGGACCTTCACTCAAACATTCGGGATGTCCAGCATAGTAAGTTTTTTCAGGATCGAAGAACCTACAGTATGTACTAATTGCTCAAACACTATGTGCTTCCAACTAATTCACAATCACTCGTTGTTCTTAGATAAACAAATTATCAAACTACAAGAGTCACCTGGTGAGTATGCATTGAATACAATTGTTCTTGAATTTTTCGGGCTTCATAGTGGTTAGAAGGTGTCAAAAAAGCATTTTGAAGGTTCTGAATCACTTCTCATTTAGACGATATGCCTGCTGGTCAAACTCCTCATACCGTGACTGTTTTCGTTCATGGCCATTTGGTTGAATCAGTTCAGCCAGGCGACCGCGTAACACTCACTGGAATCTTTCGTGTTCAAGCAGTCAAGGTATTTCTAACTTTTGTCTACCGAATTGATCGTTCTGCAATCCCATTCAAGCTACAAGCTGATATGAGTACATTGAATTTGCGTGATGTATGGTCGTAAAAATAATCGGTAAACTTCAGGTTAATCCTCGTCAAAGAAATTTGATGGCTGTTTATCGTACTAACATTGATGCGCTGCACTTCAGAAAAACTGATTCTTCCCGCCTTCATCAGGATAATGGGTTAGTTTGATCCAAATATGGGAATTCTAACTCTCCCTCCGTGCGCACATATGGATCCTTTCTTTTAAGTGAATCACTTACTGATGAACGTATTGAACAGATCCGTAATCTGTCGAAACGCCCTGATATTATTGACGCCCTGAGTCACGCAATTGGTAAGATTTCTTGGGTTTTATTACAGACTNTACTTTTACACGTACTAGGTAATTGAATGAAGTTAAGTGGAATTCGTATGACAATTTCTGTTTACGATTATTCTTAAGTCTTTCAGCTCCCTCGATCTATGAACATAATGACGTTAAGAAGGGTATACTATGTTTACTGTTTGGCGGCACTGCAAAAGATGATGAAAACACACACAAAACAAAGCTGAGAAGCGAGGTAGGTGCTCTGTTTGAAGCCTACTCTGAGCAGAGCATTGGGCTTTCTATTCTCTGATGTAATATTTCTGGTGGTGCTTCTCGTTCCGCCATCTTGTTGTTTTTACTTAGGAGGCAGGTAAATGAAATACATATGGGCCTTTTATTTTAGATCAATGTCCTCCTTTGTGGAGATCCCGGTACTTCCAAATCACAACTTCTGCAATATGTGTACCGTATTCTGCCGAGAAGCCAATACACTAGTGGCAAGGTAATTTTTTTAAATTTGAAATCGGTGTCACGTATCGTTTAATAACAATGTCAAGGGCTCATCTGCGGTTGGGTTGACAGCTTCTGTATCGCGAGACTCTGATACCCGTCAGCTGGTGCTTCAAACCGGTGCGCTGGTGCTTGCTGATAATGGTGTTTGTTGCATTGACGAGTTTGATAAGATGAACGAGTCAACTAGAAGCGTCCTTCATGAGGTAAATTGAATGGAACCGCTCTTGAAATGCGCACTTGTTGAGTATGAATTGCACATCAAATCGCTCTTCTCTAATTAGTTTCATGTTATTCAGGTCATGGAGCAACAAACTTTATCCATTGCTAAGGCGGGAATCATCTGTCAACTTAATGCTAGAGCTTCAATCCTCGCGGCTGCGAATCCGATTGATTCGAAGTGGAATCGTGATAAAACGATTGTCGACAACATTCAACTTCCTCACACGCTTCTGTCCAGGTCAGAGGGCTAATTTCTGGTGGCTCTTACGGTTTTTACTATTGGATAGGTTCAGTTTAATTCGAAAGTGCTAAAGCATTTTCGAGCATTCCTGCGGTACATTTTAGAGTTTATGTACCGCAGAAATTTTCATATTCTTGTGCGCGTTTAGGTTAGTTCCGAGTCATCTCACTTTGCTTGATATGTTACCGTTATGGTAACAGAGGTTGGTATTGTGTCCTCCATCGAGTCACAAATCTTGCTGAGACGCAGTCGTCTTCTAACAGCAACTCCTCTTCGGAACAATGAAGCGCCTTCAATCTGCTCCTATCACTACACGTACCACTCACTTTTTTCAGTCTACTCCACCATTCCTCTCAACGAATGAATCATGCTAAAGAGTCAAAGCTACAATGTTAATACCGAGGGCATTAGAATTTCAATTGTCAGACGGCTCATGTTCTATAAAGCCCATTGTCAGCTCTTACCGTTGTTATCATTTCCTGTCACCGAGTATCTACGATAGCGTGACATCCTACATCTTCATTAAAATGTCAGGTTCGAATGCTAACACGTTACGGATCTAGCAGCTCTCGATTGCTTTGCCTGGTTATCTGTCCCGACCAGTTGTTATCAATCCTTGTCTTAAATCGTCTAGGGTCTTTTCATATTCACACCACCTACCAAAGTTCGGGCACAGTAAACACGATGTGAATGACTTCCGATGGACGATGGCTCTTGCCTTTTAGGGCTTCTTATCAGTCCAATCATTTGTTATCGCTTCCTTTTTCTTATCACCAGTGTTCTCATATTCCTTTCAAATTTGAACTCTCCACGTCCATGGGGACAGGAGTTATGAATTTCCGGTTAGCCACACCCAAACACACACACAACACAACACAACGCAAAAATCAGCACAGCACATACAAAACAAACGCACATACTCACACACAACACACACACACACAAAACCACACACGTTCGTAACACACACACACACACTCACACACACACAACCCAACAATGAATTAGATTTTATGAATATTTCTCTATTGTTGCAATTCAGATTTGATTTGATATTCCTGCTTGTCGATCCGCAGGATGAAGCATACGATCGACGCTTAGCTAACCATTTAGTCTCCCTTTACTACAAGGACAAAGCCGAAGCACAAGCGGAACAACTGGACATGGCTCTGTTGAGAGATTATATTGGTAAATAGGTTGAGCAGTGTTTTTATCAATTTACTAATCGTCGCTTTGACCCAGCATATGCTAAAACGAATGTCCATCCAAAGCTGAATGACGAGTGCTCTCAATTCATAATTGATAAGTATTTGTTTATGAGAAAGGTAGGTTTTTTAAAGAAATGTAATAGATTTTGAGCCCAAACACTATAATCAAGGCTGGAGCACAACACGGGCAAATATCGGCATATCCTCGTCAATTGGAATCGTTGATTCGGCTCTCGGAAGCTCATGCGAAAATTCGCCTATCAGATACAGTGACAGTGGAGGACGTTGAATCTGCTTACAAGTAAGGGTTCTCTTTAATCTTTGCATTTTCTTTTCCTTACGTTCGTCATTACAGCCTGTACCGTGAGGCACTAAAGCAATCTGCTGTTGATCCGGTTACTGGTAAGGTAGATGTAAATATTCTGGCCGCCGGCATGAGTGCCACTAGCAGAAAAATGGTCCAGCAAGTAAGTCATAATCTAACTTTGAAAAGTTCACAGCAGTGATTCGTTTTTTAGGTTGCGGAAGCCATAGCTGGCCATTTGGAGAGCACTAAAGGCGTGAATATCTCAGCTAAGAATCTCTTTATGACTTTGAAACAGGCTGATAAGGTTCGTGTTTGGTTTAATTGTTGTTTACTTCTTTGACATTCGTGTTCACGCTGTTTATGTTATGAAACAGATTTAATTCAAATACATTGTTGTTTAGATGCTTAATCGTGACATATTTGACGAGGCATTGAATGAATTAGCAAAGAATGAGTTGATCGTCAGAACTGGTGAAAGGATTCGATATCTGCCAGTGAAGAATTGAACGTTTCGAGAAATTGCGCACGATCACTGTTGAATGATCTCGTCTACCGTTGATTTTATGACTTTTAATGAATTTTCCTCGCACTCTAGACTTCTTTGTAAACTTTTAATTATCCAATTTGTCCGAAAGTTCATTGTTCATCTTTTCCCATGGTTTTTTATATTTACATATCTGAGCATGACTTTTCAAATTATTCAATAAAGTACAGGCTACGTTGACTAGATGAAATACAGTACAGGATAGAAACCTTTGTTCTTATTTGAAACGCTTCTGGTCGAGGGTTGATTGTATCGTAATTCGTGAGAGCAGTTTGTGGCTTCTTTTTGTCATACGCTGTTTTCTTGATGACGGAATTGCCATAAATACGATGCTTGTTCCTTATGGGGAAGCTGAAGGTGTCAGCTGCTTCNGTATTCTCTCTTGATACCATGGTGGCCGCCATTCAACTAATACGCAAGGAGTGCGAAGGGATATGAGAGAAGCGTCTCTCTCGTGAGCGTGCATCAGCTCTGAAGTTTGACAGGCGTTAGAACACTCGATGACAGTTTTGCATATATACGGCAGAAAGCGTTGTCGAGTGCATTCTTAGCTGAACCAGGGTTTACTCAGCTGGTTCGAATGCATCCGTTTTCCTAAGAGTTCATGACGGTTCATGGAATTTATCTCTTTCATTCAACAAAAGGATGAGTTGAAGGTTGTACAATCCTGATACAAAAGCTTTGAATCTAACAATCGTTAAACGAGCAAAACCTATTTCTATTCTACAGTGTCGAGTTCAAGGAAGTCACAATCATTGCTTGCAGTTTGAAATAGGTACACAACAAGGTGCCTTGATGGTTACCCTTTGTAGAAGAAATCCATCAGCCATTGTGGGGAATCACATTAGCATTACCGTTGGCGGTTTATGCAGTTTCATTTGATATTTTTGCTAATAAGAAAATAGAGTCGGGGTGTCTAGTAATGTTTTTCCTAATGTTTTTAGCTTCAAAAGAGACGTAAATGTCAAGCTCAGCCCAAGTGGACTGCAAAGATCTCGCTGCTTTTATGACTAGGCTTGGAGCCTTGAGAAAAGTAAGTTTCTGTTGAATAGATATTTTTCTCTGAGAAATTTCTTTTCGATTCTTCATATTGGCCTGGTCGAGTCGGACTGGTTATTATTAGTCGTTTTATGCAAGTTTTCTGATGCTTGACCGATTTGTAGTAACTCTAAAATTAAGGGTTAAATAGAGCATAAAGCCTTTAGGCGTTAATCAGTCCCGTCTGAGGGATGCGTCCCGCATTCAAATCTCATTCAAATGCAATAAGAGGATTGAATTTATATGTGGCTTATATCATGATTGCGGTGACTAGCCGATGTACAATTCAATTCTTTTTGTCTTACCATGCGTGTCTTGTTCCAATTAACCGACATGGGAGGGATGGAAAAGGCTTGGTTCGGATGTCGATCCGAGGTTCGAACCCGTGACTATGCGTGCTCGGTAATGGGTAATGCCACTACGCTACCTCCGCCCAACTTTGAAGATATGTCGCGGAAATGTGAAGCGCTCTTGATAGGGGCGTGGCCGAATCGAAGCATGACGTGGATGAGAGTTATCGTGATGAAACGTGTTTGAACGTGCAAGTGTCACTGCGATGGAGAAGCTTCTCAGTTCACGTTTTGTTTGATCGAAGCAGTATGAATGGTAGTCTGTTTGGGGGACGGAACATTCACCCAGAACTGGATGGACGCGGCGAAATTCATGATGATTAAAACGACTCTGGCGCCTGTTTTTGGGGCACAAATTTGAAGTGGGATAGATAAGTAGCATCAGCTGGCCCTACTTACCGAACAGTTGCGGGTTAATATACCCATACCCGTCTGTTTAATC